TTCTTATCGTTTTTGTTGTTTTGTTTGTCCTCCGTTGTTCTCAGTTCACATGCACACTGACCAAGGACCTTACTGTAACTTCCTTGACACTGACAGCGTTCGTCAATGTCATGGTCACAACTGGCCGTCCGCTCGGGACTTGAGAGGGTCTCCGATATAGGTCTGAGGCAACTTGCCGGGGTTGTTACGTCGCCACAGAGCTTGTGACGACTGCCGGTTGCTGAAGGAGTGGCGGTGGTTGCTGTGATGACGGCCATCGGAATGGCTTGAATGATGCGTGCTGCTGCTTTTGCGTGTCTGTGACGGGTAGTATCGTTTGAGCAGTCCCATCTGTGGGAGGGAGACATGTACAGTGTAAGCTCTGAGTACATTAATACCGTTTTCTTATAACAATGTTTTTCTCTTATCTATTGGAATGTTAATGAGGAAATGCAAAACTGTTAATAATAAACTTATCTATGATGTGGAACCTCCAAATTTAACGTCCGTATCTGGAAGGGCTGAACCAAATTGCTACCTAAGAATTAAAAATGTCTATCTGCTCAGTATACAGCATTGAGAAATCTGACGTAAAAAAAAAAATTGGGTTTCACAAACATGTCAAGCTTTTTTTAACACAGTTATTTGAATCTCTTGATAACGACTCCGAATAATCTTACGATTTTGATATAGCAGACATTTGGTTTCTGACCTCACGGTCTTTGTAACTCAAAACGACCAAAAATATCAGATAAAACTTGGTAATTCTAAGGTAGATGCTACGTTGGTCCAAGATGACAACCACCGCCATCTCTGTTATTTTTCATTAGTTTCTGTTGTTATTTTGTTTCTTCAGAAGACAATGATTTAAAAAAAAATAAAGAAAACGACATTGTGGGCTACATTGCTTTAAAGGCACAATACACATTCATTAACACAATGGTATACAAGCCTATGGCCAATAGCCCACTATGAAACTATATTTTTGTCTATTAACCACATACAAATAAACTATAGATGTATTTTTCGGATATGTGGCAAGTACATATTTCAAATATTAACAAAGCATTTGCCTTGTTTTATTTATTGCACTTACAAAAAGTGAAATTTGGCAACCCCTGTGAGTTTTTGAACCAATAAACTTGTCAAAAATACATAAACATCATAATTGGCAAACCCTTATAACAGACTAAAATAATATTCTGTAGTTATACACTTCAAATCCATGCTGTACAGTACGCTCAATGGGCTTTATATACATTATGACACCAGCAGACACTAGAACACGCAGAAACATTCTCAGCTTCCAAGGAAGCATACAGTGCAAGTAGCCGATAAGCGCTTAGATTCTAGCAAACTTGTAAGATCCTACTTTGCCGTCTATAGCTGGATGTCCATTCTCGCCTGTATGGAGTGCACAAAGACAGAACGTCGTACCCCTGTCTAGGTTCGAACCCATGACATTTCAATTACAAGTCCAATAGTCAAATCACTAGACAGCCAAGCATCTCACTTTGACCTAAGTCACAAACGCCCATCAAACCCTAACCTGTGAAAATTTGCCTTAGACGGACAATTAACCTCATGCCTAACGGACATTGCATGAGAAGTTTTGAAGGAAGAACCAATCTATGAAAGCTGAGGCTCTAAAAAGAAAGCAAAATCAATAATAATAATAATAATAATAATAATAATAATAATGATAATAATAAATGACATTTTTATAGCGCTCAACCCCGATTAAAGTACGCAGATTTTGAGCGCTTTACAATACAGTACAACGTGCAACAGTAACATAAAACGTTGTGTTCTGACTAAAAGAACATTACTCCAAGTATTCATCTTATTGAATTAAAAACAGAAACGGCTCTAGCTTACATTGGAATGAATCAAAAGATTAAAGAAACCCCCCCCCCCCCACAAAATAAAAAAAAAACAACAACAACCAAACAACAACAACAACCCCCCCCCCACAAAATAAGCTGGCTACATTTAACCTATACAGCCTACCTCACACTCCTGGGCTGGTCGGGTGAGAGAAGTGTTGTTCTTCAAACTAGACTGTGAGTGGGTCGACTCTGGCTGCTGGACTGGTCTGTGGGAAAACAGAAAGGGATACTTTTATGTGAGAAATCGTGATAAGGTTAAAACAAAATAAATTCAAAAGAAAATAAACCAAAATAAAACAAAACCAAAATAAATTGCTACCCCCCCCCCCTCCAAAAGTAAAATAAAACAAAAACATAACTGGTGAACACTATCATTTATTAAGCATAAGAAAATGGCAAGGAATTTTTTTGACTCACTGCCAAATTCGATACCTTCTATCGTGTGTTAAGGTTCACCATTGCAAATTCGGAGGGTTGACATCTTCTTGTTGTTTTCTAAGTTGAAAACATTTGGATATGGTGCGGTTTTTCATGAATCTCTTCATAATATCAAAGAGTCTACATAAAAAGAGAGGCCACTTCTCTCTTTGAGCCAATTAAAAAAGTGTCCTCAAAATTCGGTGGCGCCCTCT